ATCCAACATTCACACGATAGGGGTGCCAGAAGGAAAAGAGAAAGAGCAAGAAATTGGAAATCTATTTGAAAAAATAATGAAAGATAACTTCCCTAATTTGGTGAAGGAAATAGACATGCAAGTCAGGGAAGCACTAAGTCACAAACAAGATGGGTGTAAAGAGTTCCCTTTAGGACACATCATAACCAAAATGCCAAAGGTTAAAGATAAAGAGAGAATCTTAAAAGCAGCAAGAGAAAAGACATTAGTTACCTACATGTGAGTTCCCATAAGAGTGTCAGCTGATTTCTCAAAAGAAACTTTGCAGGTTAAAAGGGATTTGCAAGAAATATTCAAAGTCATGATAAATGGGGACCTACAGCCAAGATTTCTTTACCCAGAAAAGCTATTATTTAGAATCAAAAGGCAGATAAAAGAGCTTCCTAGACAAGAAAAAAATAAAGGAGTCCATAATCACCATACCATTATTATATGAAATGTTAAAAGGACTTATTTAAGAAAAAGAAGATCAAAAATATGAACAAGAAAATGACAATAAATACATATATATCAACAACTGAATCTTAAAAACAAAATAAGCTACCAAGAACAGAGACGGAATCACGGATATGGAGAGTGTTTTGATGGTTGCCAGATGGGAGAGGTTGTGGAGGAATGGGTGAAGAGATGAGGTGATTAAGAAGGACAAGTAGGTAGTTAAAAAATAGCCATGGGGATGTAAAGTACAGTATTGGAAATGGAGTAGCCAAAAAAATAAATAGATATGACCTGTAGACATGAACAATGGTGTGGGGAATGCCTGAGGGAGTCGGGGGTGCTGGGTGGAGTGTAGGCAAAGGGGGGGAAATCAGGACAACTATAGGAGCATAAGCAACAAAATATAATTTTTAAAAAAGCATAGAGAAATCATGTCACAAATTTTATTATCTCACTTCTGATGCTATCCTACTCTTCTTATCTAATGATTTGCTTCAGATTTCTCCTATTTATCTTGGTGTACTAAACACTTCTTTAGAAACCACTTTAAATCACCTCCAATATAAAACAGACTGTTAATAATAAATGGTGGTTGAATGTGTTGTCTTTTCACTTTACAAATGCTTTCTCAAAACAATAAGTAAGCCAGAGGCAAGGATCTAACATTGTCATAGTTTAGCATCTTTGGGAAGCAAATACTGAAGTAAGATGGAGTTTACAGTACAGGATATTTACTAGGAAATATCCTTATGAAAATCCCCGGAGGAGGAAGAAAATAAGTTTGAATAAAGGAAGAAGATAAGCTAACAGCTTCAGCTGTCTGGAACCAATGGTGCATCAAAGTTACCTTCTTAGGCTGAAACTGGGGGTACTTTATACACCCTGCCTCAATCAGTCATCAGTTATTGGTTGCTCTCAGCAGAGGTTGACTATAGCTGAGGCTATTTTTGAAAGTGTTGACCACTAAGTACTCTCTGCTGATGACACTTCATAAGCCCATCCTTGGAAAAGGAAGCATAGCACCCCATATGCTACAAATACTCTAGCTAAATCACATACCCCGAGGTAATTAGTGATCCCTGGGAAAGTTAAATACACTTGAGAAGTTATTTTGGCCAGAGAATAATGTGCTAGTCAGATCACTCTACCGAGGGAAAACTAGAATACATCTCCCTGAAAGGGTGCAAATGGAGTGATAAACAGTCGATACATTGTGTGTGGTGGGGTGGGTGGGTCTTAAGACAACCTATATTTATTATCTCAGTTTCTGTCCAGGCACATCTTGGCTGGGTCCTCGTTCATAGTCTCACAGGGCCACAATCAAGCTGTTGTTTGGGGCTGTTGTGTATATATTTAGCTATTATATATCATCTACCAAAGTCTATTTCCTATGTGCTGCAAACAACCTAGACTTTCAACCTGGACTCAAAGTAAGAGCCACACCATTTATTTATTTGAGTGTGTAGTATTTGCATTTCATATTTCTCACCATTACAGTATTGCAATAGGAATCTCTGACTTCATAACAAGTGTTACAGTCTTGTACAGTTTCACATCCAAGACCAAGAAAGATTGTTTTTAGAAAATGTTGCATAACATGATTTGAAACAATGGATAATTATGTAACTTGGTTTATCAGCATTATATTATATATAAGTAATTTTTTCACTGTCTATTAGCCAATTTCCATCCCCTTGAAGCAAAACTCCAATTCACCACATTCTTCAAATTCCATGAGTACATACATTGTTCTGCTCAGTTGGTGAAAGAAAAACATGGAGATTAATAAAGTATATTTACAGAGTAAATAGTAGGTGCTACTGTGTAAAAATTAGTTTGCACCGTACACAATACAAGTATTATACAAGTGGTATACAATATTCTTTTCATTTTTTTTAACTTAACTCAATTTTTTCCATTTCAAATCAAAAGCAGAAAATCACAGGGGATTTTTTTTTTTTGTCATCTGTCTTTTTGATTTTGACTGCTGTGGGCCTTAAGATCTACTGAGTCTTCATCTTTCAAATGAGAAAATTAGAGTTTAAAGAGGCTTGACAATTACCCATTTCATGAGGAAAACTTCAGAATTGGAATCCAGGTTTTCCAACTCGTATTCCAGCATTTTTTCTTCCTCATTGCTCTATTCATTGATATTAATAGCTCTAAGCAACCAATAGCACCAAGAAATTTCCCATGTACAATGTCTGCCTTGACAAGATATCCTTTTCATTATCCCATTTCTAAAATGATTTTATTTTAAGTAGTTCCCTTGAGTACATAGTTGTAATAACTAAAGAGCTTTATTTTTATCAGCTATTGTTTGTTTGGCAACAGTGATTAATACTTTTCTTTCACTTGCTAACTTTCTTTACCTTGGTGAGTAAAGGCTTAACAAATTGTTAGGCAAAGAACATACACTTCAAAACTATCCAGATACATCTGTGTACCAGACAACTGAACAAACTAAGAGACTGAAGAGATAAACATTGCTGTTTATTTTCATTCTTTGAGAGGTACTGTAGCTTAAGTGGGGGTGACTTTTTATGACATTTACTTAATTCTTGAATTGACTGACAAGCCTGTTAATATATTCCCTGAACTTTATTAATATAATTGGAAAACTGCTCAGATGCCAATCAACTTCTAATATGTAATTATGTTCATAAATACTGTAAAATTATTAGCTTTTAATTTGACCCAACTACATACTTCCAAAACAGTAACAGAAAATGTTCTTTTTCTAGAGGAACAAAATATTATACTAATAAAACATTCAACAAGTTCATTCCATAAAATAATGTCCAAAATTTCACTATCATCAAATGACCAGCAAAAGAGTGCCAGAATAAGGCATGTGACAGCTTTAGAAATGTGTACAATGTTAAAGTGATCTATGTACTATAAACTTAAAAAGAAATTCTATGCAATTTAAACACGTGCTTGGGCAGGGTTTATATATCCATAGTCTGATTTAAAAATCTGGGCCAAAAATAGAACAAGAAAGGATGGAAAAAAGAAAGGAGGACAGTATTTAGTGTCTAGAAATACCTCACTTAAATCTGCAAGAAGCAAACAGTCTGTATCTCAAGTGATTCAAATATATTATTGTCCAAGTTTACTTTTTCTTATGTAATAAAAATCTTTTGTAGTCTCTGAGCTAGAAACTCAAGTCAAAGGGAACTGAACTAAGTGAGAGGACAGGATTAGGCCTGGATAACAGAAGAAATGTGTTTCTGATTTATAATCTCATGTCAGTGTTTGAAACTGGACAAACTCCTGCCCATTGGCATCTCTGGTTAATCTCTGAATAAAGATAGATGTTGGTGAAAACTACTATATTCTCCTATGGTAGTAAATGAGGGACATTTTACAGTCTGCAAATGATCTTCAATAAGAAAAGCCATTGAGGAAATTCACTGATGTGATCCTCAATTTATATTTACTTCCATAAAGTTAATTGTTTAATTGATAAGTTTAATTTTTATTACAAAGTTAAAATATTTACTAATAATTGAAGCTGTATTTCAATTCAGGTTTACATTTATATAAGGAAATAAAGCTCAGTTAATAAAATTATAGGTTAACAATATTTTCCAAATGTAAGCCATGTACATAAATTAACACATAGTGTTAATTGTATGAAGGGTAAACTCAGAGGTAATGCAAATAACTTGCTTACTCAGCATTCCGGTAAGAATAAAACATGAATTCGCTTGCACCATATTATCATATAATGTGTTATTAATTTTTCTTAGAAATGCTGCAATGTCATTTTGAGTTCCACAGCATAATATTTCTATGCAGTGAACACATGATTAATCTAAAATGCACGAGAAAATAATGTAAAGGGCTAAAAATATACATTTTCCATTCTATTAGCATTATAATTTCATTTCCTTGAAAAGTATTTGTGTTCAAGATAAATATGCTCTTATATTTTAGTGTGCAAGAAAAATAACATAATTTAATGATTCTGTTTGTATTTGGAGATTGCAAGTTAGCTAAGATGATTAATGACCCACTGAAAGTACATCAAAGTATAAAGCATTGTGTACCATATTTTTTCAATTACTCTATATTTAAATTAAGTATTTATAGAGAGCTGCTTCTTTTCATTGTAACTTTAATCAAAGTGTACAGAAGTTGAATTGAGACAGTGTTGGAAAGCTGGAGAATCACTTCTAAAGAGTTATTATGCATATTTCAAAAAGTTCTAATATTTTAATGTATCCATCATGGGTTCTCAAAGATTTATTGAAAGGGTAACTCAAAGGAGGACACAAAGTGTATCCTACACAAAAAATCATAATGTGGTGTTAATGGACAAATTTTGATATTGGAAAGCAGAGATTTGAATGACTATAATAGCCATTACACTTAATGGAATCTAGGAACATAAATCCCTGAAGACAATGACAACATATCTTTCAACATTGTCAGTTACACCTGAGTCATTTTTATATCTAAATATTGAACATTTCTAACCATAGTCCTTCCATTATAACAGTTATGGAAATGCATACCTTGCACAGTTAGATGCACCTGCATTGTTCTCGGCGTATGTTGAGTCTGAACAGAACACGTGTATGGGCCATCATCTGTCACATCTACATTCTGTATCTGGAGACTGTAGTCCCTTTTATTCAATGTTGAAATTGAAACTCGAGGATCCACTGACCACTTATCACCTCCAGCAAAAATAATACTTGACCGGTTCAGCCAGGCACCCTTTGAACCTCCATCTTCCAAATAACACCTACAAATTACCAGAGACAAAACACTATTAATCAAAATGAAAATGAGAGACATTATCTTTGTTCTGAATGTATTTTCATATGCTGAATTATAGCACTTCATCAAATGCAAACATCAGACATAAATACTGGAGACATGAATATATTGGTTCATCTTCCATTCCCAATACAAATATGAAACAATACCTACATACAGTTTTGTTTTATTTTGTTTTGTTTTTTTGTATGTATGTGTGTTTTAATTCAAGTCCAGTTAAAATCAGTTTTCATTTTTTTTCTGGATGACAAATAAGTTAAAATAAGGTTAAATTAGTTCACATAAAAATTTAAAACATGTTTTTTTCTTTGAAATTATAAGTAGTAGGAAAAGTCTATGAGTAAGCCTCATTCAATCCAATCCAATCCGAAGTATGATGCACTTGATGCAGAAAGCATAGAATAGTATATCATGTTATTTTTTAAATCATCTGCATTTTCAGAGTGCTAAGTTTGCACACTAAAACTATAAACTGCATTTCACTGATAATATTGTTGTTGTGGTTAAATGTAGCAATTTTAATATAATAATTTTAGTAGCAAATTCTTGCTGCCTTTTCAATTAAACTGACCAACAGTTTTTCCAAGTAGCATTCATGTATCCAATAAACATTTATGAAGCATCTACTATTTATGGATTCAAAAAGGTATTGTCCTCGCTCTTCTAAACTTTTTAGTCTAGTATGAAAGACAAACAAACAGTGCATTTACTACTACACATTAATAAAGATAATTTTATTAACTCAAGCTAAATGTTCATGAGAGACAAAAGAGGGCTACTTGACTCAGCACAGGTTTTTGAGTATATAAAAAGGCTTTCTTGGATAGGACAGGAAATGAATGAGATAAAGCGGGAGAAGTGGAAGACATGGCTTTCTAGACACAGATGCTATACGTGGGCAACATCAGGGAAAGCTGAGAGAGAGAATCATGCATTCCAAGGAAGCACAAATAAGCATGGGAAGAAGGGAGGCATAAGAGAGGACACTGAAAAGGTAAACTGGAACCAGACGACGATGGTAAGCCTGATGACATTTGGTAGATTTTAAGGCCAAATGTGAAGCCATTTATTCAAAGTCGTATTCTATAACAAGATTCGAAATATGTAGCTTTGTATCTAATATAAGTCAGGCAACTCAAGATTTAAAACAGAAGGCTGTGGTCTTATGTCAGTGATTTTGCTGAGACCTAGAATTCTGTGTTTCATCTTGAAAATGTTCTGATACAAATTAAAGACTGGTTCTCTTAAATGAGTACAAAGCACAGCTACAAAATGAAAATACACATACATCGAAATAGTTTGACAGCATTTCTACAGAACACCTTCAGGGATTGAACACAGTGAGATTGCTGCAAAATTGCAAGCTGAATACAACAGGGTAGGCTGCTGCCAATTGTATGAAACTAATCAGTGGCTGAAAAAAATAAGGAATAGGGTACATTGCAGAATCTAATTTGTAGTCAGCTTCACCATCTACAGAATCCAAACTAGTAGAAGTCATAAATGTCACTGTTAATTGAAAAGCTTTTCCTTATGTATTTAATGAAGACAATAAAATCCACTTTAATGATATAATTAAACAATTATAGCATATTGTCATTCTTAATAATATGCAGAGGGAAGATAGAGGAGACGTAGTTCCCATTTCACACCACCACATTTGGGTAGTACACTAAAATACTGCTATTAGGGCTGTGATAAGTCCAAAGTTTGTATTTACTGTCTAGGTTCATGAAGTGTTTATTGTGTGACCTCTGCACTCATGGCCTTCACACGTTATTCTATCGTGTGCTTATGACAACCTTGTGGGGGATGGATTGCTATGTCCAATTTGTCACCAGATAATAACTCTAATGTTTAAGCTATATGACTTGCCCTAGCCACACTAGTAGTGAATGGCAAAGTTAAATTTATAATCAAGTTTAATATTTCTACATCCAATGTCCTTTCCACCATAATGCAGATCAAAGACTTTTAAAATAGTTTTCAGAAATGGGAAGATGATTAGAATGTTGCAGAAATTACTGCAAGTAATTTCTTATTTACTGAATGTGACCAACTGCTTAACCTGTCCTATTATAAAGGAAGCAGAAAATTAATTATTAATGGATATTTTACCATGAAAGTCTGATTTTGACACTCTGTCTGATATTCCCCTTTCCCTAGAGGCAGGAGCAGCTTTACCTTTATGTGGGGGGTATTAGAGAACCACGGAGATTAACCAGCCTTTAGACACCAGAGCTTTCATAAGCCTGATCTGGGTTATAACTTCCAGCCTTAACATAAGCATTATTCCTCTCTTCTAGCATGTCAGGGACCTCAAGCAAAAATAGAAGTTAATGTCTGCACTGTGAAAACAGAGAGAGAGAGAGAGAGAGAGAGAGAGAGAGAGAGAGAGAAAGCCCTTTATGTCCTGTGGGCTTAGATAACTATCTTTCATAACTGGTATTGGTCCCAACCCAAAGCTTTTTAAGACATACATTAGAAAAACCCTTGAATGGGGCTCAGGAGAAAAAAAGAAAACTTTTTTGGTATTATTTCCTTGTATTTGTGTAGAACCACTTAGTTAGAACTTAAATAACTCAAATCACCATACATGGAATTTTATACATTAGGAGTAACAAGGTTTTCTATTTTATAAAAACATAAGATACTTATATAGAGTATATGTTGTTTAAGCTCAACTATAAGATAATCATATAACATAGGCCAACACACAAATCAGATTCTTTGAGAATAAGACCTATGTCTTCAACATCTCTACCTCCATATTTACCCTATTTTTCCCCCTTTACAATACAAAGGGATACTGCCTGACATGAGTATGCTGTATTAAGAAGGAATTCAGGAGGGAAGGAAGATAACCACGGTATAGGGACAGAGGTAGAAAAAGGATGGGAAGTGGTGATAATTTAGTTTTGTACTTTTTTGGGGCACCAAAAATTTTTTTTCTGGGTATAAGAACTTTAATGTCTAAATATATAAATCTCTTGTAATCCTGGCCCACCCAGAATTTATAATTTAGCAAAGATGATAAAATATATAAATGACTAGGAATCACGCAGAACAGGAAGTTAGTAAATACAATTAAATTGTTGTTGGATTATTATATTTGCCAGAGCTGCTTTAACTTCTCCCCATGACCCCTGTAGCCAGGACCATTCTCCCCACAATAAACCGAATAAACTTTTTAGAGTTTCCATTAGATCATCAACTCCAAGCCTTCCTTTTCACACATCAGACATACTCAAATCAGTCCTGTTTCACACATCAGACTGATAATCATCGAAGAGCCTATGTTATCTTGTCTTTTGATGTTTTTCTGTCTTTATTGGCTACCATTCTTTCCCAATGTGCTCTGCCCTCAACAGTGGTCCTCTAGCTGTGTTTTCAACAAGTCATGCTATTTTTTTTTTTTTGCCCCAGGAAGTTTTCATTTGCTGTTTCTTCAATGTGGACCTCTGTTCTCCCAGAGTTCTGCATTAATTCTTCCTATCATTCTTAGATCTTCACTAAATTACCTAATAATGTATTAAGTAGCAAAAACTGCTCTCAACACTCCTATTAGACATATTTTCTATTTACCTGATTAATTATTTTGTGTTTATCCCTGCTAAAAATAAGTTTTAGAGTCTGTGTGTTTTGGTTACTTCTATATATTCCAAGGGCCTACACATAATGGAAAACAAATATAAATATTTGTTGAGGGGATAAATGAAAGCAAAAAATTTAGATACTTTTAGAAGAAAGAATAATATGGTAAAGTATATAAAAACTCCAAAGTGCAATCTAGTTGGAAAAGCGAAGTCATGTCTGCATTATGATAAGACATAATTAAATGCAAAAATCTGTGGCACAAACAAAACCTGCTGTATGAGACACAGAGTGAACTAAGTAAGCAATCTGGATCACGCTAAATGAGCAAAGTAAACTGGGAGGTTTTGGGAGAAGGGGGTTGGGCTCAGAACTACTTGAAATAAAAAAAAATGTAACATTTGACTTTATATTTCAGGAACCACTTTAAGCCATTAAATGTTCTGCTTAGTATGTGCTACACACTTTGTTAGGTAGTTTACATTGACCTTCCTATAACCCTATGACCTGGAATCTACAACCTTCATTTTACTGATGAAGGAACGAAGGTACTGAGATTATCCTGAAAAAAGCCAGTCAGTCAGAACTCTTTTCTTTTTCCAGTGCTATAAACTTGGTGCTAGACTATGCTATTAGAATCAGACACCCACAAGGATGAGGGGTTCTCTGTGTTTAGCAGGGAGGAATTAATGTGTGAGGGAGAGGCCAGTGAAGCAAAGACAGGTCCTTAAAGGAAGCAGGATGAAGCAATGATTCTATGGTAATGAACTAAGACCTTTTTTCCCCCTCTAGATTTCAAAATGGAACATTTTAAGAGTAACTGAGCTTAGGTTCCCTTTGAAGTATAGACAATAAAATAATCAGTACCAGACTGTTTTGATTATAGTAGATTTGTAGTATAGTTTGATATCAGGTATTGTGATCCCTCTAATTTTGTTCTTCTTTCTCAAGATTGCTGTGGCTATTCAGGGTCTTTTTTGGTTCCATATAAATTTTTGAAGTATTTGTTCTAGACCTACGAAATATGCCATTGGTATTTTAATAGGTATTGTGTTGAATCTATATATTGCTTTGGGTAGTATGGACATTTTAGTGGTGTTAATTCTTCCAATCCATGCACAGAATATATGCTTCCATTTATTTTTATCTTCCTCAATGTCTTTCTTCAGTGTTCTATAGTTTTCTGAGCACAGGTCTTTTACCTCCTTGGTTAAATTTATTCCTTGTACATTATTTACTTATATTTTTTTGCTATAGTAAATGGGGTTTTTTTCTTTGTGTACAAAAATGTCATTAATTTCTGAATATTGACTTTGTATCTTGTTACTTTGACAAATTCATTTATTAGGTCAAATAGATTTGGGGGAGAGT